AGAATCTATTACATAAATTAGCTAATAATTACGTCCCGCGATATTTATAAATCTATATTTTAGGGATATACTTAAAATAGATAGGCTCCAGACAGAACTACTTTACAATACAAGTTATTTTAAACATTTTTTTTTGTTTGTAGGTAGATATGAATCTACCTATTATTTTCAATACCTGTGTGCCAACGTAGTACTTATTAATGACTATATACGTTAACTGAATGTCTTCATTTACATCATTCATTCAATGATAAATTAATAGAAAACACCCGCATCATGGGACGATAAGCATTAAACAATGGGGGGCCATCAATTTCGAGGCGACACGATGTATTTGAGGCATTTGGCGAGAAATAGCTCAGGTAGGACCCATACAATCTTATTAAATGTATGGCCCATTGTGTTTAACATGGCGCCTAAAATTTGACCGTTTTCGAACATTTCAAACCATTATTCGGGCACAAAAAGCAAGCTGAGAGATTTGAAAACGAAGACCTATAAGAGACGATTATTTTTATTTTTGTATTTCATAAACATACCGAGTCTTGAGTTTGAAATATATAAATATAATAATAAACGACCTAGGAATTTCTTTAAATAAAATTATATATACCTACACAAACAAACTTTCGTGATTTGAGACAATCCATTGAGGAACCTCTCAATACTCGTTCTTATTCGTAACGAGCAGTGAAAGTTGTAGTAAAATATTGCTTAACCGAATCGCGGTAAATATTAAAGAGTACCCTGTCTCATATGACACCTACTATAATCAATTTACGTGGGCACCCACCTACAAATACAACCCACAATCGTATTTGTCGCTCACTACAGCCTACCTACATGTCACCTCGTCTAGTTAACTAAGTCTAGTCATCACAATATAAAAAAATCGATATAATTATAAATTTATGCTTACCGTGAAAGATCAACGATATCCGCCAATGTCTACTTTCCCAAAGTCTGGTTCGCCTTTAGGAAAAATGCTATAAGTCCTGATGCTATTACAGAAACTACACACTAGCTACAAACAGCAATCGATTCACATTCAAGTGAAGTACCGTCAACGTACACAAAACACGTACATACAAATTCAAATTTCGAAACGTCAAAAATGGAACGAACCCATGCGCTCGCGTGTATGCGCGTTGCTCGTCGACGCGACTGAGCCACGACCACCGACCACGAGCAGGAGGCACGCGCCGGTTCATTCACAAATCGAGTGGCGGGGCACGGACGCGCGGGGCCGACCCCGCTAGGCCCATTCATGCGATCACCGATATCGGAGATGGTGACCTGCAGTTTTATGGTAACGATACCTGATCGATCATTAGTTTACGTCATTCATTTATATGCATATTGAGAAATTTAGTATCCTTAAACGCTGCCAAATTACTATATAGAATATCAGATTTACAATTATGGGAGGGAAAGCCATTTATTACACCAAAATGCGCTACAAGATGTAGGAGTTATCTTATGGCAACAAGTTTACATATAAAATTCTAATTACTGTATTTTTTCAATAAGAATATGTAATGCTGCCTCCGCTGGTAATAACGGCCTATGCAGACGGGACATTAGTGGAAGATAAGAGAATGAAAGTTATGCCAGTGAGAAAATCCAATCCAACAAACCACATTGATTTCAAGGACCGCATGAAGGTCGTCCTGGCAGGATAAATTGCTATCAATGGGTGGCCCCATTACTAATAATCGTATAATATATCTAATATAGAAATGCGACCATGATGATAGTGAAAAGGCGAATATTTGCACAGACCGTTAAGTTTTAACGATATATGTTTACTGATTACGGCATTGCTAACCACTCGCACGAGAAAATTGCAGGCACCGGTGCTTGTGAAAGGCTCAACTGGCACAATGCAGCTGTTTATGTAACAGCGTCTTGCACAGCACGTACCGTCGTTGCCTCATGGTATTGTAATGCTGCAGTTACTCCTTTTTCTCTCTGAATGAAACTACTGAGTCAGACTACAAGCGAGTTTCTTCTCAATGCTACTAAACTGAAATTTCGCTGAATTCGCCGGAAAGATGACAAACAAGAAAAAAATACTATCAGAGGAGGAAGGCGCAGATGTTATTCTTTATAAAAATGATTTTATCATTTTTTAATTGAGTTATTATTTCAATATTTAACACCGTAACAAATGAATATGTTATGTTATAACCGTAATTCTATACAAATACATATGAAAAGTACAATTATGAATTTTCATTATGTTCTTAAATAATTAATATAGCGAGTAGTAATTGTAATTTTATCTACTGTTTACTTCACATATGGCGTACAGAAATACAATTTCTTCATGCTCAGTTCCATAGAAATTCTCATTTTTAACATATTTTTAGAATTTGTTTACATTTTAATTATATTTAACTAGGTAGAATATATTGTACAAAGACGTCTGCGTGAGTAATTCTGTCTTATACCAAACCTTATTATCGTATGTAGGTTTAATAAAGAAATACCACAGAACTGGGTGTACTGTGATAAATACCGTACCCTCATAACCACGAGCATAACGGCTGTGGACAGCAACCTACCGCAATCCGTGGTAGTGAGTGCCTACATCTATGGTAGAGGTTGTACAGTGAACTCACTTCCTGTTGCCAATTAATGCAATAAGTTGCCGGGACCGGCCACCGCTGCTGTACAGTTACATGAGCAGATATGCTCTTCTGGCATTTGAGTTACGTGTTGCATGTTTATATTTTTTATGATCAAAATAATGAAATTTGTGACCGCGAGACCTTTCCGGAATAGAGTTTAACTACTTATACAGATTTTAAACTGCTTTTTTTTAAAATAGAATAGAATAGAAAATCATTAATCAAATACACTTACATTGAAATACTTTTGAATAATAATTTTTTTTAATCTATCCCTTATTCGGAAAGCTGTCTCATCACAAGAAGAACGAGAAAGAAACTTGCGTGATGCTCTTTTAAATAATTTAATTGTAACTTTACTCTTTTAAGTTGAAATGTGTGAATACAATCAACCAACTAACTAACACTAATTCATTAAATTCAAAATATTAGATGCACAATCTACTGGTTAAGTGACTATATAAGAGTAAATCAGTCGTAGTGATTAGAGCAGACCAGTCCCTACAAGCAGGACCCGTTCACGAGTATACGGACGAAATAGTAGGTAACCAGTCCTCAATACATAACACTTATATTTATGATTAGGCTCTGTGTCGGTCTGAGTATCGTTTTGTGTATATTAAACTAGCTGATCCGGGCAATTTCGTCGGCGTCACATTTCCTACAATTTCGCAACATTTTTTATTCCAGCTCTGCTGCTATTGATCGTGGCATGATGTTATAGGATATTCTATAGTCTTCTTTGATAATTGAGCTCAATGCTCATAATCAGATTAGTTTTACCGGAGATTACCAAGACATCCAAACTTACAAATTTTATCTCTTTATATACATATAATGTATATTAAAAGATGTGTATTAGTTGCCTTGTTAGGGGAGGTCTACGACTTAGAGGCGACTATTGATGAGGATTAATTGAATTAATATTTAATAAAGCTTTTTTATTTATTTCTACATTATAGACAAATTATTTAAAACATCAGCTGTAAGCATAAATATTATGAAAAAAATTTCGAGATATATAATTAGAATCATATTATATTATGTTTGGTAAACGAAATGAGATTTTCGTGGCTTCACTACGAGAAGCTCTATAGATTTTGGTTACGAAGAAAATTACGCGAAATTGAATTTTTAGCATGGTATTTTCCACAAACTACTTATGAGTATTTATAGAATTTGAAGGAGCAATTTTTTGTTCCATATATGTGATAGCTTCATACATACAATTTCAATAAACTAATAGAATTATTAGGGAATGAGTGCAATATTAAATAATAGTGACAAGATCTATAAACCTCGAAAAGATCAAGTTATTTATAATAAAGTTATTACTAGTTACTCATCATTTTTATTGAATACTGCAGTTACATAGGCAAATCGAACAAACAATTAAACTTGCGTGTTTTGCTGGCCTACCTGACTTACTTACATGCACTCTGAATGAGTATGTATACGATGTTCCATTTTAAAGCATAGTCAGTGCAAATAGCAGCCCGTGTACTAAATGTTCGTAGAATTTATATGCGTAGAAATTTAAATTTTATTGTAATAGAATAGGTACTTTTGTCAATTATGTGAGAGTATAAGTGCCGAATAATGTACAATGATACTGTAATCACTTTTCTTAACTATAACTGAAGGAAAATTACAAAAACGTCTGTCTTAAACAAGAGTATTTGTGCTCCCGGGCTTAGTTTTGCCAGCTGTTCTACGGTTTCAAGACTATATGTATATATAATCTTAGTCCTTAGGAATAGGAACGCATTAATTAAGGGTACCCATGCCGTCACAATGTTTTATCTGATACATATGTTCTGGTCTATATGCGAAAGTAACAATATCCCGTAAAGTTGATTGGTAATTTGTTTTAAAAATGTAGACGGTACGTATTTGAAAATATAACTTTTGCAATAGATGGCACTTTTGCGATTCCCATTGAACAAAAATGTAGTTTGTTAAAACATCAGGCGAAATTGTAAATTACTATAAATGCTCGCACCGGAATTGTTATTAGGTTGTGACCTAATCTTGCCGATTAGTTAGCCTCAATTTAGATAGCTACAAAGCTTATCGCTTGTCTAGAAGACATGCCGATCAACACAAATAGAGCATATTTATAGGGGTCATAAAATTCTAAGTAAGTATATAATTTGTTTGATGGCGCAGATTTTATTTTAGACTCGCTGTAAACAACGCAATAATTCAGAACGTAATCAAACAAAAATAAATTGATTTGTTTATGGACGCAGCGATTACTGAATAGATCCTTGGGTTTTTATAACCCGAAGAAAACTTAATAAATCAACGATACAAGATATTTAATGTATTAACATAAAACTATGTATGTTTATAATAATTCCTTACCTGCATAACATAATGCGATATAGTCCTGTGTTGTTGACAATTCCTCCGGAAGACTCCATGATATTTTAAATTCATTCCCATCCAGAGTCCATCTAAGATTACTTTTAATTTTATCATTGGCACTGCATTCGCTTATTTTTCCATCTTTTTCACTAATATTTTTATTATTTGTGGCACTTTCTGTATTTGTATCAATAGCATTGACAAAGTCCTCAGTGCGTACTTCTTTTGGCTCCTCTGGTACGTATTCATTCACAACTTCACTATTCTCTGTTTTGTGTTCATTTTCATGTTGTTTCTCACTGATCGCACAATCGACGTCATGTTCTTCGGACATGACTTTATTCAAACCGCCTACTTATACATTATATTTAACTGCAAAATATAATCGAGTATTTAATTTTTCAAAACATTAACTGACGAAACAAAGTAACTATACATGTTCTCCATTATATTACTCGTTAGTGATATTCTATTATATCAATACGTCTCCTAGTATAGTTACATCACGTAGCAGTCAAATAGGTCGAAAGAACAAGTCTTTAGAGGATTATGTCCTCTTATACAGAGCAAATGCTACATAGCTGTTGTCTATGTAGAGAGTACTGACAGTAGGGAGCATTTGTGCAGGGTGGCGGGGCGAGCAGGGTGAAACGGCGACGTCGCGACGCCAGCCTGGCCGGCGCCGTCGCCGACCTACTGCTTCTTAATTCAGACATTTCATTAACTGCTAACATATAATCATTTTACAATCTACTTGTATTTAGATACATATACTTAATAAGAATCAAAATAAGAATTTATAGGATGTATATTTTTTTATTACTGATTACTTAAGTTGGAATAATTTAGCTTAGCAAAATACCTTAAAATATTAATATTTATTAATATATGAAATCTAATTAACAAGATTTGTCTGATCTAACTAAAATAAAATACACTGATTCTTTTGGAAGCTTATTATGGCAACTTTATATTACTATTTGTATTTGAACTGATCACATATTTTTTACAATAACATTTTAATTAAATTTTCATAAGATGTGTATTATTTAAAGAGCTATCGATTACTTATAACAAGCTTAAGATATTTTTCTGCTTTTTGGAATATTAACTACCTGTTCAATAATTTAATACATACATTTCCCTAAAATCATGCCTTGCCTTAAAAAGATTGCTTTCGGCAATAAGGTCTCCTTGCTATAATTATATACTTGATATATTATATGTATATTTTCTTTACTGCATTATGCAATAAAAGTGTAGAATACACTTCTATCAATTAAAATCAATCTGCCTAACAATTTATTTATTTGTTTTGATATTTATATCAATAATTATGTTAAATGAGAATAGTTACAATAGTACAAGATTAATTCCCATCTATGATTTTTGTAACTCATGGAATATATACTGCTTACAAATTTTAATCTATGAGGTAGTAGAAAATGACTTGACTGAGAAGTGATTTAGTTACTATTTCATCTACTTCTGAGTGATGAGTGTAATGCAAATTCCAGTGCATCCAATAAATATACTGTAAGGGTGGTTGGATGATTTGTAATTGAATAAGGGAAGAATAACCAACTTTTTTTATAAAATAGTAATAGTATTTATTGTATATATTGGCTGTAGAGATATATAGTTTGCCTTGTCTTTGAGCCATAAGTTGAATGATCTTACTATCACCTTATGAATGCAAAATAAATTTGGTGGTCGATTAACATATCTACTGTTTTATTTAGAAACTAGTACCTTTCACTTTCTGAAAATATGTTTATTAGTTTGAGAAAGATATTATGATATTATAAACAGGTGTAAATTAGTAAATTGTATAATTATTTAGTTCCATATGTTTTACACCTAAGTAATTATAATATATAAATTGTTATAGAATTAAACATTTTCTGGACTATTAAAAAAAAGTTTATATTTTAGTATTAAAAATAAAAGTAAAACTGTCAATGAGTATATAATATTTTTAATATTTTTCTTAATGTCTAATTAAAAATCTTTGATGATGCGCTTCTTAGATAAATAAACAAATGATTGACAGCGAAACTAAACACGGATATCTAAAATGGTATACTTTCGTATAAGATACTAAAGTCTATATTCTTTACAAAACCTATTATATTAGTATACAGTAGAACAAAATACTATAACTAATTTATATGATGGCAGCAGAAATAAAATATATTCATTTTTCAGTCAAGATCGATAATTTTAGGTATCACGTTTATAAACAAAACCATTAAAAATGCGACGAAAAACACTGTCATAAAATTTGCACATTTAAAATTAAAAGTTTGTAATAACACCACAACATACACAGGTCACTGTAGTTTTTCCAATAATTTTCATATCATATGAAAATCAGTGAAGATATTTTTTTGTAATTAGAAATACCTATCCAAAATTTTCACTGCAGGTAAAACGACCTGCAGCAAACACTTGACAATTTTGACATTGAAGTTTTCGTTCAGGAATTATTGACTGAAGTCAAAAAACAGATTTTTAAGTCTCTTAATAATTATTAAGAGACTTAAAAATCATTAGAAAAGTAAGAATGCGGTATTTTTGAACTATTATTTTCCGACCAATGTAATGAATAATACTATTAAAGGAACGGGGATTCCAAAACACAGCTATATTAAGTAGATCAAGGTAAAGTTGGAGTCGTGTTGTATCAACAACTAAAGAGATTGATGGAAAATCGTAGAAAATCAAGGCAAAAGCTCCACCGACAAGAGAGTGGCTCTTATATAATGAAGAATGCATGCACAATGATAATGCACATAATGATAATATTATTGTCAATGTCAGTTGTCAGTTTACGTTGTCATCTTACCATTGCCCATTCAGTCGGTAATTTTGAAATTTAATTTAATTTATATGTAAACAAATTAGAGCCTAACTTTATGTAAATAACCAAATCTACGTAAAGGTAGTCAGAATTAAATTGTATATGATTATAATATAGTAATTATACCTATTATGGCTTCAATTGCCCCGTCAGATACCGAGTCCAATGTAAGTGGCTTCATACAGTACAGCAACAAACATTTTAAGTACTTGTACAAATCTATGATCGAGGTAAATGTATAACTATATTTTTATTGTATATAACTAATATATAAAACTATATTAATCTAGAAAAGTTTTACAAATGTTTTAGTTAATATTTATTATGCATTTTTAAAATTATTAAGTTTATTAGATGATGAAAAGGAATGCTGAGAAGATATATCTTATTGTCAAATTGTTAAAATTCAGATATTTCATTATTTATATCAGCACAATATTAACTTCTCCCCACAACTTTATATACATGATTCTGAACAGTACACATCTTGGTCTTATGTCTATTAATGTAACTATTATATTGGTACAAACATATTTTAGCATAATATTATTCAGGAAAATAGAATATAATGACTATATTTCAATCTTATTTCATTAAGGGAAAATTTGTGAATAATTTTATTTAACTTAGATTGTAATAAGAGATACAATAAAAGAGAACAGATAAAAGTCCAATTTGTGCTATAGTTTTAACCATGTATTCATAAACAAGTCAGTCAGTGTGAGTGTTGTGCCATCTATATTCATGCCAGTTATTTACGATTAAAATGTATGTGTACATTAATTTCAGAGTATGGAGTCTATCAATCAGGATGTATTGCAAATAGAAAAGAATTTAACAAATATTGTGAAGCAGTCTGGACCGCTAGAAAGCAAATTGTCTGTCTTGCTTCTTTCATTACCTAAGGAAAACATCAACATATCTATGGAGACTGAATCATAATAAAACAAGGACACGTTATTTTCGAATTTATGAGAAATTCTGTCTTTCTAATTCATTACTGACTACTTATGGAAGTATTATAACATTAATTTTCATATTGTAACATATGAAGGATAACATAATCGATGTGTGTGCTTAGTTACTTTTAAACTTTCGTGTTTAATATACATTATCTAAAATAAGAACCGGGTCTTAACACAAATAATTTTATGGCAAATAAAGATGTAGAAAAAGCTGCTGCCACCTATCTACATTGACATCGCTGTTGTGACATGTTACTCCAGTCAGCCACGGACAACGGCTAGTGCAACCTGGTTGAAACCTCAAGAGAGGAACCTTTATTTGCCATAAAATTATTTGTGTTAAGACCTGGTTAATAATTTAAATATTGTGTGCTTAGTGCCTTATATTATGTCTAAATACCACATACAATATTGTAAATAAATGTATTTTTGTTAAATCTTTTTTATGTTCTCAATATTTAGAGCTTATCTGTCTTCTCTTATCTAAATGTAATTGCATGTTTTAAACTTTGCATCATCAAAATATATAGTATACTGAGTAAGTGGTAGTCAGAAATGCACTGACAACTTTTTTGAAATAAATTTACTAAATTATTTATGACAGCAATGCTAGTGTCACAACCTGACAGTGTGTAGACACTAGAACATGTTTTTACATATTATTGACATCTTTTAGATATAGTAATCATAATTATATTTTATTATAATGACAACAATCAGAACTAGACCAAAGTCACCAACTCGTGCTGAAGCTATTGCTAAAGCCCTAAAACCTACTCGTGTATATAATATGGGAGTACTCTTAGGTAAACAACATGTTTATAACAATGTTAGGCATGTTTATTTTCCTTAGCCCCATTAATTTATAATTCCTATTTCTTGTCTTTTTAATCAATCGTATAGCTCATTTGATGGTTAAAAGTTACTACATATATATGGATGCCTGATACACCATGGATGTTGCTACGCTTTTAGGACCCTTAAGAAATCTTATTATCTAGAAGATATCTAGAGGAAACACTTAAGTAATAAATTGCTAAGCCACAATGGTCTCATACTTCCTAGGTAGATAACATATATTTTCACTTCAGGCAACTGGGTGGAAGATAGAATCGAATGTCGTAAAGATGGCACATTGTACTTTCCACCCAAAGATGTTACAGATAAAAAAAAATTTAAACCAGAGTCTAGACAGCCAGATTTCAGACTGAATAAATTAAACAGCTTACAGGTAATTGTGGTATATTCTGGTATAGGTATTTGTAGACTGTTATTGTGATACAGAGTATAGTACAAAATTCTATTCTATACATTCCTATTGTCATAGAAAAAGTATTATTATATTAGTATGTACATAATATATTTTTTCTATATTTGTGTTAGGTTTTCTATTAAGGCATAAAACTAACTATCAATTTCAATTAAGACTAGTTAGTTCTAAATTAAAATTGTTACAATTATATAAATAATAGAGATACGCAAAATATTTAATGATATACCGCTGAGTTAGCATACCCTTTTATTGATCATGATAAACGCCTGATCTAATTATATAAGCAGGGTGGCACCCCTGTTAGATTGTAGTATGACAATAAAGTCAGTTCATATAGCCAAGTGTAGAGAAAATACCATGATTAACATGATTTTTTCTTAATATATGATAATGAGTTGGTATACCTGTCTGCGCTAACGAGTATGCGCTGGCTGGTCATCATGATAAGATGAGCACGTGGGTTGCTTATTAGTTAGTCCATTATGACAAACTGAACAGGAATTAACCACGATAGTTTCCAAGAACCGCTTGGAGTTCTTTTTGACATGGTACATTGCTTAGCAATGGAATTATTAGTCCTCATTACCGCAGTAACATAATATTACATATCCATTGCTTACAATAATCCTCTTCCCTGATCATACCTCATGTTTTTCTGATTATGCCTCACTGGTACCCCACCAGCGTACACCGTTCTATTAGCAACTATCTAAAAAATGCCGTTCCATATTGTAGGGCAATGTCTATACAATAATACGCCATGATAGTCACGACACGTGTAGAAATTTTGCCAGTATCAACGATCTTGTATACAATCATTTACCGAAACATCTGTGCGGCCCTATTCAACGATACTACAAGCGGAGTGCCCACCAATTTTACCCGCAGCCGGATCTTATGAAATGTTTCGTAAGTTATTATAACGTTTATAGAACTACGTCAGAATTGATTCAGCCGATTAGTAAGAATTATCAGACAATTATTATTTTTTATTTTAGTACAGTACATACTTTCATATGCATTTAGTAAATAGCTGTTAATTTGAAATTGTAAACGGACCTTAAATTTTATTATATTTATTTATAATAAAAGATATAGATTAATATGAGAATTAAGAGAACCATATATAAGAGTATATTATAAGGAACAATACTATTTTCTGTATATTTATAATCAAATAAACATAATACACTTTATTTTAGGGCTTAGGACATAAAGCCCTCTATTATTTTAAAAAAAGCTAAGGAAATCACGGTTAAAAGCTACTTATGTATGTACAGGGAAATGTTACTGAATGGGGTTTAAGGAAATACAAACAACACGAGTGGGCATGCACCGACGTCTCTGACTACGTGTCAACTCTGTATGAAGACACTTATTTACCGCCGCAACCGTATCAATATCTACAAAAGTGTGAGCGAAGAGCGCGAAATTCGTTAGTAACAATAAGTTTTTTTTATTAGGTAAATTAAATTATTTAAGTTAGAGTAGCAAACACACTTACAGCATCCCTGTTGGAGGTAACCGTTATATTTTTACATGAGAGCGCGATTTTTAAGTGACATAATATAAATAAAAGTATTTTTTTAAATATAATTGGAACGGGAAACGAACTGTTGCTTCACCTGTTAGCATCGCCATTACACAGCACCGAGATCACATTATGTGATACGAGTGATATTACTCATGCGTTGCCATTCTAGAGGACTAAGATATCATGTCTCTTAACCTATAATGTCACTACCTAATCTGAATGTATTACCGTTTCGATTCCATTCGGTATTTCTGCTTTTAAACCAAAAGACAGTTTGCAAAATCATGCCTTTTCGCGGCTGCAGAAATTTGTGATATATAGTATAATGATTACTGGTATATATATGTATACACGCAGCATGCAAGTACATATACAGAGTCAAAAGATAATTAACTTTATTGGATATCACAGAATTAAGGAATTCATAATTGATGGTCATTTAATGTCTGAATTATGTAAACTCGATTGTAGGTTTTTACACTTTTATTGCAGGAGCTTCACAAAAAGTTTCCGATTTAAAATGACAAAATCAAAACAATGATAACATCAAGAATCATTTTCTCTTCACTTTTTGCAAAAATTACGAGTCTTTATAATATCACATTTTGTTCGACAAGAGGACAGTGACGTCCGTATAAAAAATTGTAACAATTCTTAATGCTTTCACATAGCCGACACCTGGCTTCAACACGAGATCAGCAAATAGTCTTAACGCTAAGTTTAGTCTCAAACATTACGACTTACAACCACTTAAATACTACTTGATAACTTAACAAATACCTTAATATAATGGCAGTTCATGGAACCTTTAACAAAAGAAAAAAAACTAATATCGAAGCGAAAAAAGATGGCAAAAAATATAATGTCTAGATCATTTATAAGAATGTTGAGGCTGACTAGTGTGCTTAATGAGATCCGAACGAATTCACTTGAGGCAACTTAATCAGCCCAGGGGTTTTAAATATACTGTTAGGCGTGTGCTGCTGTTGAGTAAATACAGTTGGTGACATAAAGTTCGGTTGAGCAAATCTTGGTTGAGGTATATGCACATGGCCATTGTACTGCATTTGTGGAAACACTGGCGAATTAACACGACTAAAATTTTGTGGAGTTTGAAAATTATTAAAGCTGGGAACTTGATTGTCTATGACCATGGGTTCACCACAAATAGATTCTTCCCGCGATGACGGTTGCGAGAAAACATTCCGCTGATTCATACTAGACGTCTGAGATTCAAACCCCGAACTTTGACTGGAGGAGCGACTCCCGTTTACATTTAATATCTGCCGTTCTCCTTCAGATCCCCAATACCCTCCTGCAACCCATGAAGTACTATGACCCAGCTTACTGGGCGAAATAAGAGGTCTTGAACGATTCAATGGCGTTGGAGTGATAAAAGTGGGAGTAGGATTGAATTTCCTGAGAGAAAAAATAGGATTATTTTTCATTGGTTTCTTTGGGCTGCCTATGCACAAAGAACTTATGCTTTCATCTAAATCCGAGTCTGAATCATCTTTCACTAACTTCTGATATTTATTGAATGAAGGTTGAATCGTAACAGTTTCAGAAACTGAACTGGGACTCTTAGTGAGAACAGGGTTAATGCAGAATGTAGAATTATGTTTGGGTTTAGTCCAGACACTGTCAGTTCTTGGTGTGAATGATTTACCATTCTTATAGCTACTGCTTAGTGGACTTAGAGTATCATTGGAAGAATCTGTTAAATTATGTAAACCAAATTTACTCAATGACACATCATCGTCAGTACCAAACGAAAGAGTATCTTCATCATCCAGTAACAGATTAGTTGAACCATTCACAAGGTTCTTCATTCTCTTTGGTGTTTCATGACTTTTTATAATTGTTGCAGCCTTAGTTTTCATTTTCATGTACCCTAACATTACAAGCAAAATGCTTGACAACTGAAACAAATAAAATCATATTTTTTATATGCACATTGAATTAGATTTATCAATAATAATTTGTTTATTATTCAATGTAGAATATTTACTCATGTTGCTATTTACTTGCGCTAGTTTAGACAAATTTACTATAACATGATTATAATTATTGTGATATTTGCACCACATCTATCTTCCAACATGTGTGCAAGTAAATTGCATTATGTGTGACTATCATTGTACTCACCTTAATTATACTCATTATAACTGGATCTATGGCAGTGGAATGGTGTGCTAAAGCAGTCAGTACAAACACTGACCATAATAAGTCAATTAAAATTATATGCTTTTGTTTGTTTACATTCCAAACATGCCCCATTATTTGAATCACACATACAAAGCCACCCAATATTTTCTGTGTCAATATTGTAAAATTATCCAAGTTACTAATCTTAAAATATAATATTTTTGGCCATCTCTCTACAGAAAAGAATGTATAATCTAAGTCAATGAAGTAGTTTTCTAATGATGGAAATGCCATCACTGTCTTCATCCTTGCAATAGAAGCTATTCTTTCTAGAAGACCACATGTTATTTCTTTTATATTTGTCACAGACATATACAAATTCTTGTCTTTCATTATATTTGTATGTAACTCTACAGTCACAACAAAAACAAGTATGATTGCGATTAACATTGCAATATTATTTATAGAGCTCTTGAGAATTTGATGGTGTGTGTCTATTTGTTGATTCCTCTTATCTAATGACCTTGTCTCCAATAATTTGGTGGCAAGAAGAGTTTCTTTCTCTTTGTAGAGTTTTGTATGGAGGACTCTTTTGCATGGGCTGCATAATTTGTAGGCTTTATCTAGTTGTGTCCTGAAACAAAATGTGTGAGATATATAGTTTTCATAATGACATAAATTATTAGATTAGGGTTGAATGATTGTGGTCCAGCGGTTTAGCACCAGTATTGTTCAGGGTTATTATTTTTATTAATAATAATAATAATAGAGAATGCAATGAACTAAAATAATAGTAATTTCTTAGCAACAATAGCCTGGGAAGCATGCCATCATCTCTCAAATTATTTTTTGGTTTGATATTGGTGTTTCCTTCACCACAGAGTCAATCAGAGTGAAAAAAAATACAAAGTATTGTAATTTTCTTTCACACAAATTAATGTTAGCTAAGCTGTAACAATGAAAATAATATTTTTTAATGAAATTGTGTCAAGAAAGAAAAAGTGTCCCAGTAAGTCTTTATTATTAAATAAATAAATATCAGTATACTTTAATTATAGTAATCAGATTCTCACCTATATGTATCTATTTCTTCATCAAATTTCTTCTCATTTATTGGCACAAAACTGGCAAGCTGTGCCACTTTCAACTGCTGGTTTATGTTGCACATCTTACAGAGACCATTTTTGGATGGACTTTGTTGAAATACTTTTGGCATACTGAATATTTGGTCATTTGTTGAAATTATAGGTTTATTGTAATCACCATCCTGAAAAAAATATTGGTCAGGATTATGTAACAAAATCATAATGTTCAACCAAAACCAAATTCAATAGACAATCAAATTTTGGTTTATTGAAATAGACACTTCTCTAAACACTAACCAGTCCTTAACAATGTTTAACATTTTATATAGTAACCATTTATATTTTATAATTTCAAAATGAAGTATATTAATAGAACTTTATTAATATTTTATAAAGTTACATTATAAATAACTTTGATGCCCTAATGTCTAACTATACCTAAAAATTTATTTTAAGATAATCAAATATCTGTTTTACTTAGCAAAAGACAAGACAATGTATTTTCAAACATATGTACTAACATATGTATGATATTAAATTAATAGATATGAAATTTAATTTATCACTCATGTATCAATGCTGTTTCTATTCAATTTTAAGTTGAAATAGGCCGAAACTGAATTTAAAATATCGTGTAGATAATAAAAAAAAAAAGAACAAATAAATGCTAATCAAAAGAATGCCGTACCTTAGTGAATCCATTATACTGTTCACATTTTGGGCAAGTCCAAGAGTTACGAAGCATATATTTTACCCAAAAGTCATTGTTGCAAAACCAACAATTTACAGGCCATGGCACTGATGACCTAGATCAAAAAGTAACGAATTAATTACATAAAATTTAATAACAGGCGGGAAAGCGGTACCTCATAGTCGCGGGGTTCTTGTCATACCTTAATTTGGAAAATAGTTTGAATACAAGTATACTGCACAAAACAGTTATTAATAGTATCAATACTGATTCCATATTATGGATAAATTTCATATTTCTAAAAGTTAATTCAAGTTTATGATAAAATTCATATTTTATTTTGCTTAACCTAAAAAGACACGCCAAAACCTATACATGCACAGATTAAAAAGACCATAAATGTATGACTGCCACAGATTTCAAACTGCCATTGTCAGATGATAAAAGCTTAGAACGAGAAGTCAGCGTAAATTTCATTTTCTGCCGATTTTTAATATATAGAAACACCAATTTTACTGTCTACATTATAATTACGAACTAAAATGGACTTGTATCCAGAGCCGTAAACATTAATAAAAAAAAAGTGCATAACAAGAATAACATGTGAATAACCTCTTATTTACTTTGTCCGATTATTTAAAAATATAATTAAATTTCTTTATATTGTAATGTAATAACAGTAGATCAAAACAATCATGAAATATAATGATAATAATGTTTTGCTTTTGTGTAACTTCGATGAACAACATTTAAAAGGTAAATATTGTATTGTAATTTTGAATGTGCAAAATATATCTCATGGTCGGAGACTGAAATTCAATGATATTAAAAACAATCCTTTTGCAGATAACAAAGATGATAAATTTCTACAGAACATATGGTCTGGAATGTGGTCAATGGATGAAAATGATCCGTGTAAAACCTTATTGGACACTAAACTTGAGATAGAATCACTTGCAAATTACATTAAGACATTAAAGAATGAAAACAGAACTTTGAAACCTATCCTACATGTAGCTATCAAAGCATTTTTGATATATTGCAATCACAATTATAATCCACATCCAGATAAATTAAGTTTGGACGAGTACTTAGGAACAATTTGGCCTAAAGATGTTGATGCTGCACTGAACCTTCAAAGAGACTCAGAACCATTGTATGTGAATATTTTATACCCAGAACTTCTATATTTATCTGCACAAGTATTAAAGGCCCTTTGTTTAGTAGAGGAAAATCTGGTAAGTGTATTAACAATTTTTATAACTTCTTAATATATTTTTTATTTATTTATATGTGTATATATACTACCTGATATTTATTAATTATTTACTGCACAAAATAAACACTTTATTATTATACTTTAAAACTCTGTCCCAAATCAGACAATAGCTATATATAATAGCAAAAGCTCTTTTCTTTAAAGTTTCAATATTGTATATGTTCGGAAATAGGATAGAAAAACAAATTACAAACATTTATAATTATGAGATAATCACAATCTGATGTACAGTCACACATTATATTATTGTTAGTGTTGTAATGTAACTTTTATAGCATAGAAGTAAGATTGTAATTATTTTCAGCTACACCTCTGGTGGTATTTCAGAGTGAAAGTAGCTCACCAGAGAGCGTTGGAAGACACAAGTGCCACACTGTATGCAGAATTAGAACTTACTATGGCAAAATTGACAAATGAGATACCAAATCTGGAGGAGAAACCAAGGTTACAAATTTTGCTGTGTCTGGAAATTGGACAGGGATTTCTGATATATGCGAGGATACATAAAGTTGATGAGTACTTGACGAAGGCACAAACTTTAGCTGGGTTGAAGCTGGAACTTACAGGTATAAAAAATATATAAAAATGTATTATACACAAAAATATGTGCACGATTTTTGCTGTTATACGATAGTTATGTTATATAAATCAGTATGTTACATATAGTAAATACATACTGAAATATTTTGTCAATCTAGAATTATAACCAATATAAATATATTGGTATCTTTGAAAAGCTTAGGGGAATTTATTGTATTATTTTGGTTGTCGAAAATTATATTTTTTTTAGGTACAAAGACATTTGGTGCCAACTGCAGTCCATATTAGGGTGTAAGAGTAAGACACTCTCATGATTGATTGATTCTTTCCCATCCATTCTATTTGCTATAACATAATAATATATGACATTCTTCTCTCTCTCTATTAAATAACTAAAAGATGCACTGTTTAACCATAGACCAGTGTAATATATTTTTATTAAATACTATGTGTAAAATCTCATTTTAATATCATTTACAGGTATCTTAGGTAAAAGAACCAAGTTTCAACAGCAATCACTACCACAGTTGGCATTATTTAGTGAACTGGACTTGAAAGTGGATCGTCCAACAGCAGAAGAAAGCCATGGTACATCAGAGCTACCACCTGAGATTGAACTGCAAGATGATGTACGGCTAAACAAGATTAATTACAGTGAGAAGATTAATCAAGCTGTGCTACCCAGTTTGGAGCAAATTTTGTGTTTGTTGACTGTGTAAATAATGTTTCTACTTGTTATGTCCTTTTATACCCCATCCTTTTATACCTCTTAACTGTTGCTTTCAAAAGCAAATTCAACTATAAAGATCTTTTACTATTAGTGTACAGATTTTCTTATTCTATTGATTCGTAAACCAATTTCGAATACTTGCAAGCCTGCTTGAAAATGAATGAAAGAGCTAATTAATATGTATTTCAATTAAAATATTTTTTACAATGTTTCATAGACAATACATACAAAAGTCGCAGCCCAAAGACGATTTGATGATGGAGGAACTGCAACCGTACATCGAAGCTGTGCTGTCACAGAAAAGTGGCGCGTGGCCGACGCGGGTGGCCGCTCTGCTAATCAGGTGCAAGCTGGAGTCAGGACATAAGCGTACAGTCGAACGCGCTATGTTACAATGCGAGACCATTGTCAATGATACCACAGGTATCGCGTCTACCAGCAGGTGATAATTTTATACTGTACTTATTATTATTGAGAATGAAATTACAGGGATGATAATGAATGGTAATGAATGAATGAAGAATGTCCCATAAGTGGTTAGTAGTAAATAGTAGTACTTTTTACATTGCACTGAATAAAATATTTTTCTTTCTTTCTAGTACTTTTCATGTATATGCGTGATGGTTATTCGACATCAGGTGACCTGTCTGCTTTTTTGACGTTCAAAAGTATCTATAATGCTAAAACATAACTTTCATTTATTAATAAAATCATCGGCGTCACATCTGCAGGGCGATATATGACAATCAACAAGGGTTATTACAGGGTACAAGGTTGTTCCATTGAATACAACAACCGTTATAGGTTTTTTCTGTTAAGATGACCTATAAGCTGCTGACAATATGACGATGTAATATGCTCGGTAGTTTGTGGGTATGAAAGAACTGGCTCCTGATATACAGCTCACGCTAGTTTGGCAGGCCTGCAACAAACTATACACTGACGAAGGTTTAAATAAATTAAAAATAGTTGTCTAATACAGTTTGATGCTATTCCAATGACAACATAATATTTCTGAAATAAAATATTGTGTGCCTTTACTTTTAGATTATCATATCTTTGGGCGAGTGGGCTACAGCCTGCTTGGACCTGGAGGCAACAATTGGCAGATCTGTATGTAAGCTTGGGACTGGTGAAAGCTGCTCTTGAGGAATACCAGAAACTACAGCTATGGGAAGATGTCATTGTTTGCTATACCATATTACAACTCAGACATAAGGTATTGATGTTTGATATGAAGGTCTATGTTTTGTCCGTATATAAACTTTTATTTCGTACATAAGGGAAGTAAGGGATATTATTTTTAATGGATCATAATGGAATAAATCCGCCGTCTGATGCTGACGGAGCTACAGTAGAGAATGATAAGATGATGATAAGGTTAGGTCAGATAGCCCATCTTGAGAAATCACTAGGAATTTATCATATCCACTCCCTCATTTCAATCAGTTCAATACTTTTGTTTTATTATAATATTAGTAAGGATATTCAGACAAATATTCTCATGAAGCCGCAGGTGTGTAATTGCATATTTTTTTCAATTTCAGGCAGCGGAAGTCATACAAAAGCAAATTGATACAAAACCCACAGTGAAATTGTACTGCTTGCTTGGCGATGCAACAGGTATAATAATTTATTTTTCACCATACATACTCATAAGCAGCAGCAGTTTATAAAACACGCGTGCCTTATAAACACAAATAGAGAAGTTGTGATCCATAACCGCACTGATTGCTATTTTTTCTTATCGTATTTGGAACTGACCGTCACGCAACGCCAGCCAGTAGGCATCCAGCTGATTTAAAAAAGTAAAACGGCGGGGAGCAACAGTGTACCTCATAGTTTTATAGTTGAGTTTATTTAAAATCAAGTGTGTTGAAAAACGTCGTACGATATGATACATACATGCGTATTTAACATACTCTGCGCTATTACGTCGTCGCCTTCGGGTCGGGCTGAAATTCAACCTCGATTAGAATTAGAACCTTATTATAGATTTTAAATTAAATTATTATAGATTTTAGATTTCAGATTACGTTACAATACATTAACTTATTTGTAGTTTTATAAAAAAAATTGTACACAGATGATGTATCCTACTATGAGAAAGCATGGGAGTTCTCTGATCACAAGAGCAGTAGAGCGCAGCGTCATTGGGGCAACTATCTGTTCAATCACAAGGAATATGAGGCTTGCATTCCACATTATGAGAAATCAGTCGAGATTAATTCTATTCAAGAGAGTGTTTGGCTCAGATTAGGGTAAGTACTTAATTTCAATTTGAACTATAAATAGATTTGGATTGTTAAAGAAGCTAAAGATTTAACTGATTCAGAATTTTTTCATTTTTTATCTAATTGGAATTGCAAATAAACTGATAGGCCACCTGATGGGAAGAAGCGACCGTCGCTTATATACATGAATACTACAGATATCACGTTAACATATAATGTCCATAATACCGGACATGTGTTGCTATTGAATAAAATGTTAATCACCACATTCTATAGTTTCATATCAATCAAGACGTTCCTTGATTGACTGTCACAAGTTATTGTGGGTCTTCTTTTTATTACCAGTATTTATAATCTGCATCATCGCATAAACATAACTACCACATAGCATGTGTGTAACAAACTGCATACACAAACAAAGATGTTATGTGAAAGTTTTGATGGTAATTCCAATTTTTTAAATTATTGCAGTCTATAGTAATTCCTGTGACATGTTATATGATAAAATAAAATAAAAAATCGCGGTGGTTATGCATTACGTATATTTGTGAAATAGTTAGACTTCAAAACCAGGCTTGCCCAAGTTTACTTTCGTAAGTAGTAGTTGGTTATGTCGGTAGCTGATATTCTGGTGACGTGATATTCACAGTGCATGTTTGTATTTATAAGAATACCGTTACTACTTTACATCGTAAAGGTAATCATAGGAGACAGTTACTACTTACCATGAGTGAGTTAGGTTGTATTCCAGTTTTTTTTTCGTTTAATACTTTCTATCTGCATATAAACAGAGTCTAGCGAGCCATAAGAACCTTAAAAATGAATAAATGGAGAATTAGTTATTCAAATAAACTTAAATTTAAGCACTTTTGATTAGCTCTAGTTACTTTTTACTGATTTGGAAAGCTCTCATCACAAGAAGAAAAAACAATATACTTGCTTGTTTATCTTTTAAATAATTGTTACAGTAGTTTAGATGGATAGGTACAAATAAATGTCTATCTAAACTACTCGCCTAGAGAGCATCTTCTCTACATAGTATAAATTGAACTTGCTTCCTCCGCCTGTAGCAATGGATCTTAATGCAGTTTTTAGCAATTAATAGAGTGATTCAAGAGGAATAACTGCAAGCTCAGTTGGACAATGGATGTGTATTTTCTTATAATTCTAATTACATAAAAAGAAATGTACTTGCAGCTATGCAGCTCTAATGACTGAAAATTGGGAGACGTCAGCACGGGCGTACCGTCGGTATACATATTTGCAACCAAACACATTCGAGGCCTGGAACAACTTGGCCAAAGTGTACGTCAAACAAGGGGACAAGAATCGTGCTTATAAGGCTCTGATGGAGGCACTCAGATTCAATTATGATAATTGGAAGGTATTGTTGTTTACAATTATAATATAAAACCCCATTAAAAGGGAAATTACTAAAAGAGAACTAATGAACTTTCGAATTATTTGGACAGTTTTACCTTTAACTCTAAATTAAGATACTGAATGATTTTAAGAAATAAAAAAGTATTCACAATGTATTATTCTGTAAGGCCAGCGCTACTGCTTCAGTTTTTTTTTCAATGGATGGCAATGGAATGATACACTTCTCTAAGCTATCGGTTTACGCTGGTGGGGCATCAGTGTAAAATGATATGATGAACATGAGGTCAAATCAGTTAGCCCCTCGTGACAAATCTTCAGGAAGTTTGATAACTTCCTGAGGTAGATTTGTCACGATCATGCTGGGTCCCAGCGGGAACCGCTTAGGGGTCAGTCTGACATGCTACATTGCTAGCAATGGTGTCATCAGTCAACATTACTAACAACGGCCATTTCTCAGAAATGACAATGCATTAAAAGTACTAAGTATCACCTGTATACAGGCAGTGAGGCTAGCAGTACTGTTCATGTTATAAGCAACTCCAACTCAAACTGGCTTGTAACTTTATCATCTAAATTAATTAGAAAAAACATTTTTAGCTATGGGAAAATGTTATACTGGTTAGCATCGACACCGGTCACTTCGAAGACGTGATACGCGGGTGTCACCGCGTGCTCGACCTCCAGCATAAATATGAAGATATTGATGTGCTGTCGCTTCTTGTTCGTGCCATCGTGCAAGATAATAAGGACGCTGATGGCAATAGCGCTGGCAGGTAAAGTTTAGCCTTTTATTGCAAGAACCTTCACTGCATAGCGGATATTATATTATATTATATTTATTCGTGTTTATGATTGTATCTGTTTCTATTGCCATGGGTGTGTTCCTATTATGTATGTATTATATATTTAATGTGTATACATTATTTAGTACTTCTTTATAGTTTGGTTTCGGACTAGATGTAGTTTGTCATGAGTTATTTATTATTATTATATTAGTAGTAGAATGTTTTCTACACAGTAAGTGGTAATTAAGCATACAGCCTGTCTAATGGGAAACAACCATAATTACTTTGCTACATCAAATGCAGCACTTTCAACTGTTATAAGACCTTGACTGTGCCAGGTTAATTTTATGGTCATTCTAACCCTTGCTTGTTTTTTTAATACTTACTAAACCCATGTTTTCTTTCAAATAGATTAAGAAAGCGAGTCCTTGAACTATTTGGTCGAATCACGTCAATACATCAGAATAAGCCTGAGATATGGCAGCTGTATTCAGATTTAAGTCCAACATACTTGTTGAAAGCTCAACGTCTGCTCAAGGCTTACAGAGGATTTATACAGGTAATAACTATTGTTGAATAAACTAACTACTAAATACTCTTTAATTGTTCATGTAAATAGAATGTAAGGGTATAGTGAGGGGATGTGGTTGACTAAGACACGTCAAGACACTACAAGTTTCTCTGTATACTGTCTGGATAGGTCTCTCTAATACTGGCGTCTGTTCTATTTCAACACCGACCACAAATGTCTATTTTAGCATAAATTTAAATGTACAAATGTCCCTGTTCCACTATAAATCATGTTAGTGCTTTGTTTAGAAAATTAAATATTATTATTTAGAAAATTGATTATTTATATACATTATATTAAAATCACATATTCTCTAAAAAGTAATAATTGGTCATTTTGCTACTAAATCATGATCCTGATGTATAAATAAATACAATACAACAAACAATATATTTTTTTTATAAATAGTGAAGGCATCATTTTGACACTAGAATTCTTTTAAAATCCCATTTCCATAGCAGGATTTAGACTACAATTGTGTAATGTAAAAGAGCCAGAATCAATATGAAAAATATTTGCCATCTGTCAAAACAAACATTTTAACTTTATGTCAGAATACATATTGTTTATTCTTTACAGGTTAATATAATTAATACCACAATGCTTTAAAATTAACACATATTTACAGAATGACTGGACAAATAACCCTGAAACCTGCAAAAAAGCTGTACTATTGTCTCAATCGCTTCTTGACTATAGTATAAAGGCTAGGAAAGAAACGGAAGATAAAGAAAAACTTCAATGTGATCAACAGCTATCGTCAGCCAGATTAACCGCGCAAGGAGTCATACGAGCCGTCGAAAAACAAGACTGGCCGGAAACAAAAACAGCTCTAGAGGAATTAAAAGACCTGTTTACAGAAGTTACAGAATATATGAAATCAATTATGTAAAAAAAATGTGTTTATTTTATAATTTCAATGTACCTATAATCATGCTCTACTTGTGAGATAATAATAACTCTGGACAATAAACACAGCGCCATGTAGTCTCCCTACATATGTCACATATTCATATAAAATAATTCATAACAAAGTTAAGAATCGTCCATTAAAATTTTTGGAATGAAATGGCAAATTCAAAGTAAAAAAAATTATCCAGAGCCGTAAAACATATTAATAAAAAAAAAACATGCAAAGTTTATGACAGTCATCAGCACTATTGTCATGTGACAATTTGACTGACAGTTTGTGGGAGTGTATCATTAAATTAGTTCGAATTAGCGTGAAACTGTTCTGTGATGTCGATCAATGTCTAAAATATTTACTGTACACTTACTTCGTTACTTAATAAATTGTTTTGATTGCCTCTTATTCAATAATAGTTTAAGAATGTGTATTTAAAAATAATAGCATGGCGGCTGCTAACGACGAGAAAATACTAGAAGGGTTTCTCTGTCCCATTTGTAAAGCTGACTTAAAATCAGCGTCCCAACTAACAAGCCATTTCGAAAGTTTACACCAGGAAGAACAGGATGTTCTCAAGTCTCTGAAGGATATATTCGGTAAAGCGAAAAAGATTATATTGAACACTGATGATACAGACTTAAAAGAAACATTCGATCGTGCGTTAAAGTTTAATCAACAGGAACAATTTTATTCTGAAGAAGAACAAGTTATAGGTGTGTACCGGAGTTCTACTGACTATTTTAAAGGTGTGAGGTCAGCGCGACTAGAGAGGTATGCGACTGAGACCAATAACTTGTTGATTAGACTAGATAAATTAGTGTGCAATATGCCAGAAGAACCACACCAAAGAAAACAACATGAACAGGATGTAAGTGCTATTTATATATTATATATATGATAAAAGGCATGACATGGCAATGCATGAGTAGTATTGGGGGTATCATATGATGTCTGTAGTGTTTAGCATAAGGTCAGCCATCAAAATATTTACCATTCCAAAAAAGTACAGCTCAACTACTTGGTTACACCACCCAAAGTCATTTAAAAGAGTTAAAAAAACAATCTCTGATTGTATGCATGATGACGAAAAAGAAAGTAAATCATTAAAACAAACTTACATCAATCCATTTGCATGGCATCACAATATACAGTCATAATTAAAAAAACAAAGTTAAAATGTCAAAATTCTTTATATAAACTAATTTGGGGTACAAAAGAATCACTTTTTGTTTTTCTATGGTGCTGAATTAAAGGAAATATTCCTATGTGTAATATACTTACAGTTTGTTTATCAGTTATCATGTTTGCCTTGTTGATAACTACAGTTTCTTTAGAGCTGTGTTAATCACTAGCTAAGCAGTTGTTGTAAATGTTATCAGATGTAAGATAGTTAAGTGTTATACAATATTAATGTATAAGCAGAAAACATTAATTATATTGCAATTAGCAGAATATACAGTATAGAATGTATGAAATTTTATTCAGTAACATTTACTCTTATATGGGATTATGGTAGGTTTATTTCATAGATACTCAGTTTATTTACATTTCTATATATTTCCTTCATTTATATAACCTACATTCAGCTTCACGGGGACATTATAAAATATTTCCTATTTGTCATATTTATTTGTATTTCAATGTATCTATATTTTTAGCCTGTGAGTATGTTTTTGGTTACAAATTGCAGGTTGTACCGTGGTTGGATGGGACATCAGTAAAACTGTGCCCAAGTTGTGCTAAATCTTTCAGCCTGACCAGAAGAAAACATCACTGCCGATTGTGTGGCTCCATTCTTTGCCACGATTGTTCTGTCTTCCTGGACTTAAAAATTGCTAGTAAGTTTCTACTAAAACAACTAATTTTTCTGCCAAGAAGTAACAATAATATGTATGCATATAGTATAAAATACCCAGTAAACAATCAAACAGACCGGTCTCAAATATCTTAATCCTTAAGAAAGTGCCGGGAATCAAATTAATGTGGACTGTACTAGCATTTATGACTCCATGGGTGCTCAGTTTGTATGCTATTTTGTATAGTATCACAATTTTAAAACAGAATTCATAACATACAAACATTCTTCCATGTATATATTAACATTTCAATATAAACATGCATTGTTTACAGTACTGACTTGCAGCGGCGCCTGTCTCACTGATTGTCAATATAATAGTAATATAATTTGTTTCATTCTTTCAGGAGGAATAGTCGATCCCTCAGCTCCCCAAGCATCCACTGAACCAGATTCTGATGCAGAAAAGTCACGTCTTAGATTATGTGAACACTGTTATAATCTAATCGAGCTACGAAAACAAGTGCAAGACAGTAGAAACGCTAAGACTGTGCTAATGACGGCGTATGAGCAGATGAGAAGTTTGATGGAGCAGGCAAAGCCAGCAGTAGTCATGTATGAAAAAGTTAGTATAATTTTATCACAGACTAACTGACCTGTTTCTCTATTCTCCGATTTTACAATATTTTTCATTGCTACTCAGCTCCTATTAGTCATAGCGTGATGATATATAGCCTATATCCTTACTCGATAAATGGTCTATCTATAACTAAAAGAATTATCAAAATCGGATTAAAAGATCCAGAGATTACCCTCTAAAACCTGACAAACCTTTCACATAATCACAATAAAACTGCCTTATTGCTTTCAGCAATTAGCATCAATCTAATTATGTTATATTATGTGTTCTTTAATATTGTTTATGTTTTTACTGTATGTTACAAATAAAGTATATTCTATCTATCTAAATCTTTCTACCTCTTTATAATATTAGTATGTGTAGATTCTCTAAAATTTCCTATTTTTACTGCCTATTGTTGAGGGAAAACATAATTTACCTGTGGTAGTAGTGTACCAGACTGATCATGTCTGGAAAAAGAAGTTGTCTGCGTACACACAGTCTGATCTATTTTAGTCCAGCCTCCATTTATTAGTCACCAACCAAGATGCTTTGTTAGGTCTCCATCGTCTGAAACTAATGATAATAATATGGATAATAACAACATAAGTAACGCCTATGACTAATTATACCATTATAGTTGTTAATTATTAGTAAAGTATTATTACTTTGTTTGGATCTGAGTCATTATTATGTAAAATTTATATAAATTCTGACTCTACATTATTTAAACATTAGTCATGTGTTGTATAACAATAATTGTGTCAAAAAAGTCATATATAGGTAGGGTACTTAAATATAATCATTCTATGTAAGCCTCAATACAAGCATTCATATTAAAAAACATGATTCTAAAATATAAACGTATTTTAATCCATAATATCATGAATTTCTCTGAATGAGAATCATAGGATATTTTATCATAGTGTATCGCAATATGCACATTACTTTTTAGCCAACAATAAAATGTAACTGATCGTTGTCTGTACATTTATTGAGGCATTTTATAAACTTGGTAGAACCCAAAACAATTATTTTCCGTATGTGTGTGCTTGGGTGAAACTTAAACGGCGTAAATGACTTGAGCATGGTTTCCAGTAATGTATTAAGTGTTACTTACTATTTGGTGTTTTATTCCTATCAGTATACAACCAAAAAACGCTATTGTTGTTCTGAATACCACAGGCATGATGTCACGACCTCAGTTAGTTTGTAGTAAGAATAAACTTGATTATACTATATGTTGTAAATCAATATAAATATATAATTTAATATTTACCATAAACATTTTCAAATAAACAGTTTCATTTTCTATGTAGTTAAGCAATATAATTTTATTTAATCGTTGCCATAAAGATTACAAACTTTTTTTCAGATGTGTCAAAGTCTTTTTGATGGTGAGACAACATACAACCTGTCCGATGTGAACGCAATGCGCGGTCGTATCGGCAAACTAGCGGAGGGCATCGATATACTGAGCAAGCAGATTGTTAATTTACCGGCAGAACCCGGAACTAGGCTGGCGAAACTACAGAATTCTATTAGGCAAGCAGCTGCGCATTATATAAAGGTATATTGTTTTGTTATGTTACTTGTCTATGTATTTGGTCGGTCGCCATTTATGTTACATTTAAATTTTGCCATCTCAGGATTACAATGTTTTCTGAGTTTGTTTGTCTAGTGTCATTATAATTGAATTCTAAATAACAAAATTCTTCTTCATTACATTTTACGCCTAAAAACTACCACTTATGCTTGCTCAATTTTTGGACATTGTTAGCATGAGATTTATCCTTTACCCGCAGGAGGATCTAATATCACTACGCAAGTTACCAACAGAGGCACAAATAGAAGAAGTTAGAAGACAAAGATATGAGCGCGCAGAGAAACAGATCCAGATGGAGCGGCGGCGGATGGAAATGGAACGGGCTGAGGAGACTGCCGGGCCGAGTGTTGCCAGGATGGACCACAATGACGTAGATGAGGATAACCCGCTGATTGAGCAAATGAATATTATTAGAGGCTACATCCAAGAAGCTAGAAAGGAACTAAAATTTGAAGAGGTTTGTTGATACCTATTATAAATTAATATATATTTGTAAAACTTATGACGACCTCGGTGGTGTAGCGGTTTAGTACGCCGCCTAACTTCAGATAGTCGCGGGTTCGATTCCTCGCAAGGCACAAACATTTTATTAATGATTGTATCGGTTATTTTAACCAGTTGTTAATAACATTGTATATAATTCAGCCTTCAATAATCGATTATTATTACAAAATGAAAATATACAAGTTTTAGACTGAATACTACAATTACATGATATTCAACTGTACTTTTTTCATGCAAATTGATTGCTTTAATTTTTTTAAATACACTTTTTTTTATTTATAATGTTAAGTAAAAAGTTATCTAACAATTTGACTGTTGTGAGTGTTATCATCTGGATGTCCTGTAATTGAATATGTAAATTCCATAAAATAGTTGTAATTTTGTGTTTCAGTGAATTAGTGTTATTTTATTTCATTTACAGGTCGCGATATTAGAAGCGAATCTAAAAGATCTGAAGAAAGAATATCACTTGCAAATGCTCTCTAACAAATCCTAGTCATTACCAATGAAAAATGTTAATTTAGTATATTATTGCACTTGTTTTATATTTAATGTAATATGTTAAATTATTATTGTTAGTTATTAAATTTGTACCTAATTATTTATAGGTATAAGAAATAAATAAATTTATAAAAATAATATGACTATTTCTTTGTTACAGCCTATTTTATCGATATAAAAATTCTTACAAAACTAAGATTATTTTCATGTCAGGTTTTCATGATTATCTTCTATATAGCTAATTAAATCACTTGTGTCTATCCCTGAATTTCTGTAATTTATCTAATTGCTTCAATAACTGTGGTCTCGTGCACAATGCTTTCTTGATCGCTTCGTCAAGCATTCTCCGCTGATAAAACGGTGGAAGCGGCGTGTCCTCGAGGTGGAATGTATGGACTCGGCCCAGGCTGTCCCCCACGAATACATTGTCTCCAGATGACGAAAATCTTATATAGGATAACACAACGTGACCCGGAAATGTGTACTCCGCGCAAGGGATATGTGTCTTTCTCCGAAGATCCCAAATGGATAAGATGTTTCCACTTACGGATATAAGGATCGTGGCGTTGATAGGACAGAAAGCGATGCCGTACACTGCCGATGGACAGTTCAAAGTCATTATGACGTCGTCCATACCTTCCATCCACAGTCTGATAGCACCGTCAGCACCACAAGATACTAGCAACGAATTCATAAATGGTGAAAATTCTATATTATAAACTGGCCCTGTGTGAGCTCTAAAAACGTCTATATGCTGATTTAGGTAATGTGTAGAACACTTATGAATACAACCTTCGTCGGTTCCAATTAAGTAAATGTGGTTGATAGTCGGATGCCATTTCGTACATAAAGCTGCCGGGTATCTTATTATAGGAACGTCAACTTTCAGGCAAGCTTTCGCGGTTTCCAGACCTTTCATTTTCCCCTCGACGGTTGATATCCGCATCATAGGGCTGCAAATGAAGTCGTGTGTTTTAGTGCTCGTAAATCTATTAATCCTCCCGTCCTGGCAAGTGGTCATGACGAACTCGTTTTGGCTTTCCGAGACACGCCAGTCAGTAACCCATATAGGCTCAAAGCAAGGGTTTGTGTCACGTTTGCTTTTCGCAATAATTTTAACAGCGTAAGATGTTATATCCAAAATTAATACATCGCCATTAGCGAAGCCACAAGCTAACCAATTGGGCTTCTTTTCAGAGAAAGCTACAGAAGTCAGTGGATCTTCGAAGTGATACAGTCTCTCTGGTTTGCAGGGGTTCTTAGTACACCACACGCAAACTATGCCTTTATGATTTTCAGCGTAACAAAATTTGCCATGACCCACTGCTAATATATTTGGATTTTTCGGGTTGAAAGAGATTCCTGTTATTGGCCGATTTGCTGTTTCTTCACATTCGAACGTCCAGAGCGGTTTCATAGAATAAATATATACTAAATCTAATGAGAGCGGATCTACAGTAACAAGACCACGGAACTTTTTTTGCGCCTCCGAATACTGTAAAGTAGACAGTACGCGTTCTATTAAAAGTGCTGCGTCGAAAAATTCCGGAGTTTTTGCAATTTCTTCGAAAGTCTTGCCTCTCCTCTCCTCACCAGATTCTGACAATATTGATTTCTTCTTACGTAATAAATTTGGTGCGGCAGATTGGTACATGACCATTTCATCGGGTTCTTCTTTAGACTTTACCTTTGCTAACTGCGCATAAGTGTCATGCATGTCCCACATGGATGCGAATGCAATTGCATTTTTCTTCTCTGGTCTCGTTGCTAATGTATGTCGAGTTTGGGTAACAGATTGTTTAGTTTGCGTTTCTTCTATTACCATTTTACGATTTCTACCCTTTCCAATAGTTATATACTGATAATATTCATTTTCCTCTTCAATAGCAGTGCCCTCTGATGTTCCTCTTTCGTAAGAAAACGAAGGCAGCTCAAATAGGAAACATGTTTCAGTTTCTTTAAGAGCAACAAATATTTCTGGCGGGTATGACATAATTGGGCTTGTTTTAGCTAAATAAAAAGCCGATGGGGCCAATTCTAAATCTATATCCTCCGCTACAAACCCTTCCTCGGTATTACATGTGTGATCAATATGAATGTCGTCAAGGGAGATGGTTGTTGCATATACTTTTATGCCTGTTTCAGCTATTGTTTTGGACTTTGTTTTAGAAACTTTTAGTCCTAAGTCACTCCTAACGCGCTGTTTGGTTTCGAAGGCCGCATGCGTAAAATTGTCTTCCATAGTCACGTAATCTATGTCCACTACGTTATCAGGCGTGAGTTCAACGCCGTCAATCAGGACTCTGTATGTTTGCCGTTTTTCCATAAATGAAAAGGTACTTTTACTAATTTTTGACGGAGATTGTTCTCCGAAGCTGATACGTGAGTATTCTGTCTTCGAGTTGAACGTGCTCGGAGGTAGCGAGCTAGTTATATCTTGACCGGACATTTTTTTATATATTTCCTTCTTAATTGTATTGAAATTAAATATATATTATGAATATTTTTTTATGGTTTATTCGACCATAACAATCAAATAACAATATGACACATTACTCTAGTCATTGACGATAAAAGTCAAAATTTAGTAAATGCTTGCCTAATATCTCAGAAAGACTCAAAACATTGATTAATGAGTAATGATAGTACCTCCTTAGTTATTTGTAATCATAATAGTACCTATTTATTAGTAAAACGAGTAACAAATGTGCTAGTTGTTGTTCGTACGCGAAACGTTACCTATGGTTTAATTACCTCTAAAGAGTTTGCTTACATATAATTATATCATATTACCAAGTAATGTACCTTAATTTTAACAATTTCAAAATATTTTCACAAAATTTTATTAAAGAAAAATATAATTTAATAAGTATTTACTTATCTATAACACACTGCGTAAAATAGTTTAGGATAATAATATTAAATGTGCGAAATAAAATAATATATACTACAAAATGAACAGTTTTGTTTGTTTGTAATACTTTATTATATAGTAAATACATTTAAATTAACTAAGGATACAACGATCTTAAAAAATAACAGTAGGAACAGTTATGAAGGGATTAATTACAAGTTAATAATTATATATCTATAATTTGGCGGCACATTTAGAATTTCGTGGCACACAAAAGTGCCACGCCACAGTGGTTGGAAATCACTGATATAGATAGCCATCATATACTTAACATGGGTAACTCTTAGACCATATCGCACACCCTTCTCGTTTCTGGGTAGCCAAGCGTACATCCGCACATGCGCATGGTTGCTGCTTGCGATGTAAGTTTAATATGTTATATAACATGTAAATATTAGGTAGTAATATAATGTTAGTAGTAGTAGTAGGTAAATAATTGTACTATTTTAATATGGATGACATTTGATGATGCTCCTGTCTGTTCTAACGGCTTAAGATTGCGGGGCACTAGTGGATGATGATAAGACGAGCAAGAGGTCATGTCAGTTAGCCCACCGTGACAAATTCATCAGGAATTAACTATGATCTTTTCCAGGGGTTACAGCGTGGAGGTCGCCCTGATATGGTACTTTGGTAGCAATGGGTGATTAGTCCCCATTAACATATGCTTTCCTCTTACCTAATTTTATACAAGACGTAGTTAAAATAGCCGAAGACTTTCTATGGTCTGAGATTTAGACCAACTTGGAAATAACATCAAATCTCGTAGTTTATGGATCGTTGTGTCGAACGTTCTGTTGGCCTGTTGGCCCTTGCAGCTTCACAGAACGTTAGAGAGCGTATGCAAAAGTCACGATGCGGTGTGCAGACATATTTATGGAACGGGTATAAGCCAATTCCTGCCTGACAGATAGGATTTTTGTGTAAGAATACCGCTAGGGGTATGAACCTCGGCTCAGGGCGTCGTAATTTCGATCTCCGTTTCAATTAAATTCATGGTCCTATATGTATCTAATAATAGTAAACAAAATAATAATCTATTAACCCTATCCAGAAGTAAAGTAATTATTTCATATGAATGTAATAGAGCAACCAAGTTCGCATGTCCCTGATACGGGATAACAGGCATGAGATCTTATTCCTCTGGACTTAGATATCATGCCTGCGCCAATGGTATCAGTATAGAGGATGATAAAATGAGCATTAAGTCCCATCCCATATTGGCTAATGGCAATTTACCACGATGGTTTCTAGGACAAACCGCGTGGAGATCAACCTGATATGGTACATGGCTAGCAATATACATACAATGCCCTTCCTCCCCACGTGTGAATCGTATCGTTAATTTGTATAGAGCTGTTCATGTATATAGGCGACTGACAGATGGGCTGTCAGCTTTTTTGCTATTACATTTACATAAAAAAATATAGCAAATGAGTAGCCAAATTCGCATGTTCCGGATCAAGGAACATGGTAACAAGATGCATCCAAGATGTAGAGTTTATCCACCCCGGGACGTTACCGGCTGGGCATCCATCCGTGACTGTGGACAGCTTTATTCCGAGCCGGTGCATTTGTGACTCGGGCGCGTGCCGGCACACCTGCCTCCACTACACCCCTGGACCGGAAGTACGCCAGCCAGCTCGACATGAAGAGATTCCTAAGGAAGTTACGAGAGAGTGAGTTATTGCTTTCATTTTAAAAATAAATCATAACAATAAATGGTGTGTGGATGTAATTTTAATATTTAAAAGAATTACCTACTTGATGTACGTAAACAATATGTTAAGTCAAAAATAACTTTTAGTATTTTACGAGGGCTACACTGAAAGTTTTTAGAACTGGCTACTTGAGAGCAATATAATAAAAAAAATTGTTAAAATTTTGAAAATGGAACTCTTTACGAATAGTACTGAGTATATAATTTATTCGTATGTCATGTGTTTTACGGTTTGGCGGCAAATTGAAAATAGTCTGTGTAACGTTATCATGAACTTAACACGAGAAAATTTTCGTGTGATGATTTTTTATGACTTTCGATGTCATCTAAGTCAACAAGAAAGTTATGATAGACTACTATTGGACTTCCACGATGAAGCCCCGTCTCGTGCCACTGTTTACAACTGGTTTAATGAGTTTAAACGTGGTCGCACTAATCTCATCTATAATTTGCGTGAGAGACGCCTTCTACGGCGACAACCGAAGATAACATCAGTGTTGTGCGGCGTATGATAGAGACTGACAAAAGAGTGACCTATCAGCAGATCGGGGCAAGCTTAAAGATTGGTATGAGTCAAGTGCACAAAATCCTCCATGAACATTTGGCGGTCAGGAAGCCTTGTGCCCGGTGGATACCTTATAATTTCACTGAGGCTCAAAAACTCCGTCGGGTTGCTTGGTGCCGTGAAATGCATGAAAGATTTAACGGAGGTGACTCAAATTCTGTGTTTAACATAGTTATGGGAGACGAAAGCTGGATTTACTGTTATGATCCCGAAACTAAAAGACAGTCAGCTCAGTGGGTGTTTCCTTCTGAGGAGTTACTAAAGTGAAGGGAGGTCGAAGCATAGGAAAAAAGATGTTGGCCTCGTTCTTTGGAAGAACAGGTCATTACGCGACAATTGTTTTAGAGGATCGAAAAACAGTTACTGCAGAGTGGTACAGTAACAATTGTTTGCCACGTGTTTTGAAAAAATGAGAAACAAAGTAGGATCCTCCTTCACCACGACAATGCTTCGTCGCACACCGCCAGGCAAATGATCGATTATTTGGCGACCTGTGGGTCATTCGCCTTATAGCTCCGACCTCGTACCTTGCAATTTTTATTTATTCCGAAAAATGAAAGAAAAAGTTCGAGGAAAACGTTTTATGGACGCCGAGGATTCGGTGGCTACGTTTTAGAAGGCCGTCAAAGAGACCCCTAAGGACGAGTGGGCAAAGTGCTTTTCTCAGTGGTTCTATCGGATGCAGCTATGTATTGACGTGAATGGACACTATTTTGAAAAGATAAAATAAAGGTAATAAATTGCTAATTTAATCAGTTTTTGATTTTCTAAGAACTTTCAGTTTGACCCTCGTAATAAGAGTATAATATGTATTTTATTATTATAGTACTAAAGATAGTTTTTGTCATAACAGGTTATTCAATAATATTCTTATACTTTACCATATGTTAGATATATTCGTAATACGAAATTGTTTAATTTTTTTACGAAGAAATTTTTTTTTACGCGACTCAATATTATCAAATTTTATTATGGAACTAACACGTAACAAAAAAATTCTATTCTTATTAAAGTCATTATAAAAGTCATAATAAAATTGTTGTTTGTGTGTAATATAAACGGTAATAAAATTGTTCGAAAATTTGTATTTTAAAAAATAATCAATTAATAGCGATTCTATTAATCTGAAATCCTCACGTCTTCGCGCTTTAGTGCAGTCACTTTGCACTATTTAATTTACATCGTTGGTACAATGCCCTATCTTGTCTCTTAACGAGTCTTTTATGATTCTGATTTCCTGTGCCGCGACGATTGCAAGCATCGTTCAGTACTAATAGCTATTACAAACTGATTGTTGTTTCTACGCTAATGCTGTTGGCCGCAGCTGGCCTTTGCAGCATCACCGGACGCTCAGGTGTAGTGTGTGTACATTATGTATAGCGGTATCTTAGCAGACCCTAGAGAGCTCCTGATCATTTCACCAGAGGTAAACTGTAAAAAATCGTTTGAATTTAACCTCAGGTTAACTTATTTTTTAATTAAACGTGCTAACAGTACACCTGATAGAAATAGCCAACATGACTGGGATCGGAATTACGACGATCTGAGTCGAGGTTCGAACCCCTAGCGGTGCCCTCTGACTTAAGTAATATACGTCAGGCGGGAGTTGGCCTTCAGCCGCTCCATAAGGCCTTCCGCGGGTTTGTGCCATTTGCACTCGCCCCCAATCATCCGGTGAAGCTGTAGAGGCCAGCTGCGGCCAACAGCAATAGAGTAGTCCGAAAAAAATCAGCATCGTAACATTCGAAGCTAAGTAAGTTGCGGAAACAATAAGACGCAGGCAAATTACTTTATTCAAAGTCTGTCTACCTCGATACAGTATTATTAATAAAGTTCCCTAAGCTAATCGAAACTAACAACACAATAGAACTATGTTATCAAAAGTGAGAGCGTACATACATCTCAACTAAGTGTCCGAGAGTGTATCAGCTAAATTAATCGACGTTATGGCTAGTTGAGGTCGTTTCGAGCCAACAAAAGCAAAAGCTCAGGCTAAGTGCACCGCATCAGATACTAGAGACGGGGTAATATCCACAGATCAAGACTATACTCTGTATATACATACATCTACGAGTGCTGTATACCTGCGCCCGCGCCGCCCACATTTCGTCGGCGTGTTGGATAGTACTCAGCATGCGTGCACGTGCGTTTATCGACGCGTACTATATCGTAATTGCATCTCTTTAACCATATAAGTAACAATGTAAGTGTATAGATGTGTGTAACATTTAGGAATTGTATACAGGATTCGTCCTAGAGGCCATGCCGAGCTGACAACCAGCGATAGTATTCATGAAACTGAAAAAAAAAGCTCTAAGAGGTAATGTAAAAAATTCTAAATATTTTTATAAAAAAGGCGTGGTCACGTCATTTAGTAGGTATGAAAAGTTAAAAATTACTTTTAGATTTCCAATTTGGTACTTCATGAAAATTTTTAGTTACATGAGTACCTATTCTGCTTGGCTTTTAAAACTAACTATGGGTTGAGGACCTTAAAAAGCAGAGGTCATGAAAACAGAAAGATCTTGATTAGGTTAAAGTGATAAAAATACCTAGTCAAATATATACATACTCAAATACAGACAGACGGACTACATCAGTCCGTCTGTCTGTAGCTATATATGTAGGTACCTATATATATACCTGTGTGATTATAAAATATTTTCTGTTAAACCGAATTCCCAATCCATAAGTTTTCGTGAAAAAAGAAACAATCACGATCGTAAGCGAGATCGTGTCCAAGAGAGCGAAGCGGTGCAATTTTGAAATTCTTTCACTGGCCCGTCACCATGTCAGGGAGAGCCAGTGTCCACAGCGCAGGCGGCGGAGGCGCGGGCGCAGGCCGGGGGTCGAGAGGTCGTGCGCGCAGACGCGCTCCGCCCCCCTAATTGCCGCGCCCCACGCAAATAAATAATTTTTATCCACCGCGCCTGCGCGAGATCACGCTCCTTCTTGACCTTAAATTATTGTACGTAAAGCTTGTTTTTGTGAAATTTTAATCGCCCTCCCGAATAGCGGGCGTCGGAACTCCGAATACCGAAAAGACAGCGATCATCGGCGATTTGTGATAACATCGGCCACGTCGAATTGTTAATGATACCCCTGCAACATTGCACAGATGTAATAATTAAATGTTTCCACTTTCTTGCCATCTGTACGAAAATAGCTAAGGCAAAAAACCATTTTCAGATTTTCTAGAAGTGTTTTACCTACCATTCATGTTTTACAGCAATAAAATACAAAATTGACCTCACCAATTTTACAAAATTACTTTTAGAATCAACATGGGTCCTTTTAAATAAAAACAATATCTATTGAAAAAAGAGATCAGAACTGAAACGAAGTTATTCTGTACTATACAGTAAAATCCTGGAGTTGTTTCTTATTGAAGATGAAAAAAATATATTTCTAAACTGTTGCCCCACTGTTTTCTAGGTACGTTAAAATAAAACTATGCAATTGGCATTGCAACAAACACATAAATATGCACAATTTGTAATCCGCTCGATTTCTTTCTAAATATATGTAATAAAATAAAATGACGTAATGGATGGGACATCTGTTTAGTCATAATATATTCACTGTTATAATTTCAATATTTACTGCGGTGTAATCTCACGGTCATTGCTTGTGAATGTTGTCAAGTCACCGTCACAATGGTAGGTACTGTTAGATAAGACGAGAATTCTATAACGGACACTACAAATGCCATATCAAGTGAGTTGCTGATTGACATATTCCCGACAGCATCTTGCAGTTTGTTGTTTGGTTTGAAGATGTGGGATTGAACTTGTACGGGTAGGCACGAATTTAGATTTTAGAAAAGATTAGTAAGATTTTAGAAAGATTTTATTCCTTAGAAATTATGTGATAAAGGTACATGATATGTACCTTTATCACGCATTCAAAATATATATTGTGATGTTAGTGGTAACACATGTATAACACTTCATAGATGCTTTAGAGGAAGACTGCCGCCAACAGTGTCCTAATAACCATAAAAACAATTACTATTGTTATTATTTTATATATATATATGTTAGACTGTTCTGTATATATTATTATAATAATAATATACAGGTCTATAGAGTTCCTAGAAATTAATAAATGAAATAAGAGTTCGAGAGATTGCACTTGCACTATATAAATATGATCTATGATAACTAAGTATATTAGATATACTTAGCCACCCCAAGTACCTCTATATATACATATTTGTCCAAAATCTTGAAATAAAGATGTATTTATACATATATGTTTTGTTAATCGTTCATACGATAACCTATGTAAATATCCGAACTAATCAGCATATTATACCTAATACATTATATTGCACATTTAGCGCCAACTAGTCCCAAAATAAGCAGAGCTTGTATTATGGGTATTATTATTAG